GGAAGAAAGGGCCCTGGTTCCCTTCATTAGCCACTGCTGGAAAGACAGTTTATAAGAACTGAATGCTGCATGCGGCAGGCTGCTGGGAACAAACGTGAGTTTATCTTGTGTTGACTTTGATAATCTGTGTTCCTGGCATCCTCCCAACAGTGTGAGTTTTGCTGTGCCTTCACATCTGGAATTCTTGCTCCTGCCCTGCCAAACTAATTACTTCAGTTTGGCTTGATTGGACTTAATGTGACAGTTGGTGTTGACCATACTTTGGACTTAATTTTCTGCAGTCAAAGACTGTTCCTGGGAGAGTTTTTCTGCAGCCAGAAGATAACCTGGACATCGGGGGCAAAGTTGGAGCTATTAAAGGGACTCTTATTGATTATCTGACTGTGTTGCCTTTGTGCCACACCCCGGGTCATCACAGGAGTCCTTTCTACACACAGTGTTGTGCAGATTGTTGAAGCTTGGCCGAAAAGAAGAGCCATGAAAAGAAGTGACACTCACTTTCTGTTGTTGAAGTGGAGTGACAGAAGTCACCATTATCAAAATGTAGCATCCAGTAGAGTCTAATCAGAAGTGCCACCAGCAGATGAGCCTCTGCAAGGCAAATCAGCATGACCCATGTCCTGTACCCCTCCCCCAAATCCTGGTAAGCAATACTTTAAAGTGCTGATAGTACATTTTACATGTCTTATTAAATTGCCCTTGGTCTACTGGTTAGAACTCTTTCAAAAAAACAGGAGGATTCAGATGCAGCCTTGAAAGTTAACGCTTCAATCCATCCTTTTAATTCTTTTCTTGTCCAGCTTTTTGGGGACTAGAACAAAGCAGTGTCTGTGCCTTAGCACATTTTCTGGCCCTGGGGATGTGACCCTCTTCTGCGAAAGACTTATGTGCAGCCTCAAGAGCCTCTATAAAGTTGCTGCTGAACTGTAACAGGAGGGGAAATTATTAAATACATTAATTATATCTAGTGTATTATAATACTTTATTTTAATTTGTTTTAACGTGACTTCTGGGCAGGATTCAGTTGTATAAGAGTACAGTGTGATAGTCCCTTGCTACCATACTCTACTTCATTTAGTAGATAAAATAGAAGCAGGCTGGTGGAATGAGATATGCAGACAACAGAGAAAGTGATATTCATTGTGTTGGCATCTTCCCAAACTTTTGAGCTAGTATCTATAGTGTAGTCTGGCACCCATTCCTTCATTTTTGAGATGGCTGTCTCACTCAGGCAGAGTTTGGAAGTAAGGTTTGAGATAAGTTTGCACTTACTCATACTCATACTACAAGTATGAAAATATGAGATTCTGAGTTGAGTGTTTATACAGTGTTTCTCAAACTTGGCAACTTTACGATGCCAGAATTCTCTAGCCAGCATGGGAGTTGAATTCTGAAATCTGAAGTTCACACATCTTAAACTTGCCAAGATTGAGCAAACACTGGAATTACTGGATTAGTAGGACCAGTTCAGAAGTACATCTGACCACAGGACATTGTGCTTCTCTTGACATTTCCCTTTGGGTGCTATTGTAGGAGTTAAAGCTAGATATTAACATCTTTTGAAAATCATCAGATTTCTGGACAGAGAAATTGGACGGATAATTTCTCCAAATTTAGCCTTGAGGAGGAAATAGCTTTCCAACAATATCTTAATGGTTGAACTTTCCCCCAGTAGCAAGGATAGCAAAAAAAATAAAATAATAATAATAAAAACCAATCAGAGGCATTGTTTCATGAAGTCCTCTCGTGGGAAGCCAGAGAAGCTGCAGAGTACTGAGTAACTGAATATACAATGAATGGCAGGACACATACAAACAATCCTTGGCCACCTTCTAATTGAATTAACTGTCAGAACACATTCTATATCTGAGAATTTCATTGGATTTGTCTTCTTTTTTGAAAGCAGAAGTTATTGTTTCTTTGAATGGCAGAAAGTTTTAAAAGAATCTAGCCTTGGAGAACAATAACAAGACCCAATTTCTGACAGAGGAATACACCATGGAACCTCTGAAGTTATTTTCTTGCACTAAAAGTTCCATGTAACTAATTTATTCAAATCCCAGTTCTTCCACACAAAAAAGCTTCAATGGATAATGTTATATTTGATAATTTCACCTTCAATGTTTAGAAAAGCATAGACACAAGTGACTATTTTATTATTTTTGCAACATGGCTCTTTTTTCTTTTGTGCAAACAAAACTCATAATTTCATTTTGGTAGGCTTCTAATTAAAAAAATAATTAAGCAGATGTCTATTTCACAGTTGACCAATTGGCAGCATTTGGGATTATATATTTTTAACAGAGCCACTGAATCAAAAGAAATGAAACCTATTTGGGTTTCTCTGGAAGTCTCTCATAATTATTTATTTTCAATGACCAATATTTTGATGCATCTTCAGAAGAATCATACAAGTATGAAATCTAGTATCTGACAGATCTCTAGTGTAGAAAAAAAGTACCAATTAGTTTTTGTCGTCCTTAATGATGTACTAAGTAGCACAGATACCTTTCACTTACTGACTGTATTTGGGACTGACAACTCTGTGGCTAAGCAATGTGGTCATAAAATTAAAAAAAATCATGCAAATGCACCTGACTTACAATAGAAGTCTGGCAGTTCTGGCTGAGGTCATTAAGCAAATCACCATGAAGTGTAAAGCTAAATGTCCTGTGACTGTCCTGCAACTTCCTACTAGCTTTCCCGTTGACTTTGCTTCTCAGAAGCTGGCTGTGGAGATCACAAATGGGGATCATATGGCTGCAAGAGCACCATAATGGCTGCAACTTTAAGGATGGTTATAAGTTCATCTTAATTAGCATTGCCTTAACTTCAAATGGTCCCTGAATGAATGGTCAGCAAACGAGCACTATCTGTACTAATGGTACATTATATTTCCATTCAGACTTTTTCCAAGCTGACCTCAAGAAGTTTGAGAAGATAGCAATAGCAATAGCACTTAGACTTATATACCGCTTCACAGTGCTTTTACAGCCCTCTCTAGGCAGTTTACAGAGTCAACATATTGCCCCCAACAAGCTGGGTCCTCATTTTACCAACCTCGGAAGGGATGGAAGGCTGAGTCAATCTTGAGTCTGGTGAGACTCGATCTGCCAAATTGCAGCCAGCCAGCAGTCAGCAGAAGTATCCTGCAGTACTGCATTCTAACCACTGAGTCCCTTTTTTATCTCTTTAAGATAAAATAGTTATCAATCAGGAAGTATAGTGGTCAGTTATAGCTCAAAACATCTGGATTTTTTTTTAAATGTTGCAAATGTGGTATAAATTCACAGTGGACACATGTCTTCTTACAGTTTCATTTCATAATTCAGAAGCTCCATAATTTGGTTTTGAGGCTGCTTTCCATACTGCCACTGTGAGTGTAGAATTGCCATCCATCTGGTATGTCCCAAGTGACCTTCTGGAAACTGAGAAGGAAATTTCTCCCTGAAATATCTCAGATATTTCTCACTGCAGCACACAGTGGTGCACACAGCATTCAGGGAGAAATGAGGCAAAGCTTCTTGGTTGTAGTCTTGGGGAAGGAATATTGTTGGATAGGAGATAACTTAATGTAGCAGAAAGAATGCACACTCAAAGAGGAACATGTAGAACAATGCTTTTCAAGCTCAGCAACTTTAAAAAGTGTGGATTTCAACTCCCAGAATTCCCTAACCAGTCTGGGAATTGATGTCCATACATTTAGAACTGGTAAGGTTGAGAAACACCAAATTAAGATGACAGCATTTTAAAGAAAATATTCTAGAGGTGGGTGCTCATGTGTATGGGGAAAAAAACCAAAGATAAGCATTATTTAAGAAATAATGTAATAATAAGAAATTCTGATTGGCTCAAGTTTAGCAAAAGCCATGTGTGTGCTATTGGAAAGTGAGCGAGTCAGATACAGATATAAACCACAAGGTCAGAGATGGTAGAGAAAGGAAAGCTGAGCTGAGAGGGGAAGGAGGCTATGAAATCTTTGAGAATATCAATCTAGCTAATATGGTAGCATATGCAAAGTAAGTATTTTGCGGAGAAGTATGCAAAGTCTTTATTGGTACATTGATTGTCCCTAGTGGTCAAACACAGAAAGGCTGTGCAATGCCACTAACAATTGCTGTTTCACTGAGAGCCAGTTTGGTGTAGTGGCTAAGGTACCAGCTAGAGACCAGAAGTTCTAGTCCCATTTAGGGCAAAAGTCAGCTGGGTGATCTTGGGCCAATCACTCACTCTCAGCCCTAGGAAGAAGAAGGTAGCAATAAACTAGTTTCAAAGAAATTCCAAGAAAACTATCATGCAGTAGTTGCCAGAAATGCACACAGATTCAAGCAGACACATACACAAATACACACACACACACACACACACACACACACAGAGAGTAAACAAAAAGTTTCAACTTATTGGTGTATTAAGAAGGGGCATGGTCAAAAACCAGACATACAGGGTTGCTGTGAAGAACCACACCAAGTGTTTTATTGCAAGAGAGAGTTTGTGCTACACTGGTTTGAATGGTAGAACCCATGGTGGCATAGCTTAAACATTTACTTAAAATTCCAGGGAGTTGTGAGATTTGTAATTTCATTGCACAGACATAAAACACCACCAGTTGTTATGATGAAGACTTAGATTTCCTACTATAAATGCTAATTTAGGCATGAGGACTTGTGAAAGAGCAAATGCTGATTGCTGTAGCCCAAAACCTTTAATTCTGAAGAACTACTTTAGTACCTGTGAGCTTTGATGGGAGTAACCACAGAAATCGTAACTTATTAAATAAGCTATTCACAATTTCCTTGTGATAAAGGATTAAAGCGATGGTGCCTCTCCTTCTCCAAAAATTTCACTTCTTATTTATCTATAGTGACTCTAGATGACAGCCACTTTTTCTTGCTGCAGGTTGAATTGCTACTTTTAAGAAATGACAATGTTAACCTTTATTCATTTATTTATTTTCTATTAACTTTGGTTTTTAATCACCTTTTCCATTCCTTTAACAGGTAAAGGGGATGTTTTTGGGGACATCTTCTGGAAAGAGACCACTCTAGCTCATGCGTGTGCCAATGTACGGGCCCTAACCTACTGCGATTTGCACATTATCAAACGGGAAGCTTTGCTGAAAGTTCTGGACTTTTATACAGCTTTTGCAAACTCTTTCTCAAGGAACCTCACTCTAACCTGCAATCTGAGGAAACGGGTAAGTTCTCTTTAATCAAATTTTAAATGGAAAGTTGTTTGTACAGTAGTGATCTAATTTTCAAGTCAGCAGCTTCTCTCCAGTTTGGGACCAGTTTGGATGTTATGTGTTTAACTCAAGAGTACATGAATGTTGTACATGCTTTTTTTCTATGAATGTTGAGAATGCTGAGAGAAAAATTAATGATAATGAGGTAGTGAGACCATGCAAGAGAAAGAAGGGCATTGAATATTGCACTGATTTAGATCTGCCGGTCAGAAGGTTCCCATCCTTCATGAAGAAATAGGAAATGTTTAAGAAGCATTTGTGGGAGATTGCTTCATGTCCTTTATTAGTTACAAGGAGACTGAGTAGGTAGAAAAGCCTGTGGTTATAACTGGATGAACTATGCTATTCTGGGCAAGCAAATACAAGAAAGGAATAAGCAGAAGATTCTGGAACATTTTGGAGTTAAATTATACATTTAGTTCACTCAAAGGTTAAGCTTCCTCCCTCTCAGGTTAAGCTTCCCCCATCTCATCTTAAAGAACACAGGTGTAACTGGTATAAGCACTTAAAATTGTGCTCTTAAGAATAACCTAGATATGACAAAAATAATAAAATAGCTACTGCAAAAAACATCTTCATACTTTATCAAGCAACAGACCTCCCTATCCGTGGGAAATAATATTATATACATGAATTCTCTATTAAAAATATGTGTTTAGGATTGTTTTGGGAGCTGTCTTAGCTTTATGTCACTGAGAAAAGATGTTCTCTTTTTATATGCTAGTGTTTCAAAAACAGAGTAATAATTGCTGTATAAAAATTGTCTGCATGAACAATTCTCATAAGGTCGATGAACAGATTTATGGAGCATTAACGCCAACAGTTCACTGCTGGGATAGATTTATTTATTTATTTTCTACAACCCTATTTTATCATGGGATTAGACATTTGTAGGCACAAAAGATCTCCATTTATGATAATTTGTAACCAAATCCACACAGTAAAAAGCATATGTGGATTTTGAATTGGTGGAATACTCAGAAGACGCATCTCTATTTCAGCATATGGAACACTGCGGGCAATATGAAGATGTCCAATAGCATGCATGTATCACCCATAATTCCAGATGTAGATTAAAACTGAAATCTGATATATATTCATCCTCTTGCTAGCAATGTATTTTTCACCATGTAAATCTATGAATTGTAAATTCAGCCAGTTTGGTAGAACACAAATAGTTCTGAAACTTGAGTTGGTTCCATGGCCTTCTGACTGCTAAACGTATGTTCTGCAAGTTCTACAAGAAACTCCAGAGACTATAGATTTGGTTTTCAGTTTTTGTTAGTCTTGAAAGAAAAAGATCAAAAACATGACATTTTGTAAAGAAAAATTCACGTTTCAGATTCCAAAGCTGTGATTGGATTTATAATAAAGATGGACTTCATAGAACTTTTTGTCAGCCACTGTTAATTTCTTATCAACATTTAAAGTACTTTTCACTGTTTCTATTGATTGCCCCAAATTTCCTAAAAGGGGCTTCTCTGGTTTTTGAAAAATATGGCCTGTACCTTTCAAACAATATGCCTTACATTGATTTGAAACTGAGAGTGGGAGATGAATGCTTCCAGTTCATTGCAGACATTGTATTTTTGGCGAAACTGTATAGTCCGAACTGAGAACACGTAATCAAACAAATCAAACATTCCTGCCATCTTTTAGCTCTGAGCACCATTTGTATTTTGCTTTTCTATTTCTTCCAATTTTAAAGATCTTGACAGAATTTTTAAAATGTTTGATTCTTTTGAAGACTTTTTTTAAAAAAAATGAAAATGGGTTTCTGTTCATATGGCAGGAAAGGTTTCCTCTGCTGGTCCAGTTTTACAGCAAGACTGTTTTGATTAGTGGTATGTGTTTTCTTTAAAAAAAAATCATTACTGAAGAATGTAGGGGGTTGTACCAGTGGCATCATTCTATCAATTGAAAATACTTTATTTTTATTCTTGTTCAAGTACCAATTAATACATGAATACTGCTTGCATGGGTTGTTGTCCAAATATTTTCACAATGCATTGTTATTTCATTGCCCTGGAAATTATTTACATTTTTGTTTCCCCATAAGTATTGCAGAAGAACTAGCAGAATATATACATATGAGCAAATTCCATCTAGCATTATTTAAATAATAAAAAGGAACTGTAGCCCTTTGGGTAATTTACACTCCCCATCACCCTTTCAACCATGTCCATTGATGAAAGATCTTGAGGCTTAGAATATAGCACTTCTAAAAGAACTGAGATTCCATTTATTTTCATCACTGTTTGAATAGATTTAGCCAAATGATTTCATTTAAGAAGGCTGAGTTTTCATTTTTCCTTCTTAAGCTAATTTAGATGGCTTTAGTTAGCTTTGAAATAGGAAATAACAACCTGCATCCCAGCAAAATAAAAATAGCCCCTCTTTATATATTTTATGGTCTTGCAATTTACTATATACCAAACAAAGACACAAGAAACATAATTTTCTGGAAGAATTCTTAACATGAACCAAGGAATAATTTGATAAGTTATTAATAGGCATTTTCTCACATTTCTTTCACTTCTGCTTCCTTCTTAAGGGAAAATTATAGTGAGGGTACCTGTCTTGGATGGATTTGATCTCAAGTATTTATGGGGACTTTCTCACAGGATTCATTGTTAAAATTGTTAAAGGAAGTCTGCTGTTATAAGCAATTGTTTGACAGGGCTCATGCGTAGGTGATTTCTGGGTGGGAAATTCTAGAAAAAGTTACTGGGACACTACTTTTGATATGAGGATTGCACTGGAAATTCCTTTTCCTTTCAGAGGCTGCCAACGCATGGCCATTATACTATATCATACAGTAAAGAAGCTGCATGGTCAAGAGTTATTAGAAGCTTAAAAAGATTCCAAACTGCCATGATAAACTCCATTTCTTCTGTTATTTTCTCCATTAATTTTCTCCACCCCAGAATGTGTCTTTTTTAGGGAATTAATAAACTCTTGATGCAATCTAGCTAAATCATGAAGGAGTTATAGATGACAAAAATCAGTATTTTTCCTTTTTTTTTAAAACAAGTTTTATTGATTTTACAAACAAACAAACAAGACAAAACATCATTAAACATTAAAAACATAAAACCTCTTTCCATTGTAGATCCTTACAAGGCAGGTAACATATTGCTTTATATCACATACTTATAATTTATCCCATTTCCATATAAACACGTAAATTCCCTTTACCAAATTCCACATTGTTTCTCTTTAATCATTATTCAATCATATTTCCTTTCTGATTTATCTGCTATCCAGTCATCAACTTTATATTTCCCTCTGGCTTGTTTATAATTATTCTCATCTAGTCTTCTTCCGAGATTTTATTATTTAATTCTTAATTAAACACACACACATAAAACACAGACATAAAAAACATAAAGCTTTCTTCTAGAAAGTAACTTGGCCCCAGATTACCTCTTTTTGTATGGACTCAGTTGTATTCACACTTTTCTTATATACCATTACCCATCTTATTTACCATTCTATATCTATTATATAACTCCTCTCCACTTTTGCCTCATCTTAATTCTGTTTTATATATTTAATCTTGCTTTTTTTAAAAAAAATATTTTTATATCTTTTGTCCATTTCTCCATTTACATCTGTCTCATTTCCAATTTAAGAAAGAATAGTTTCCCCTGGAATCACTAATCGGAGTATGATGCCTTTCTATCATTCCCCTAAGTTAAAATTTAAAATAACACCTAAATCCCAATCAGATTCTGCTTAGTACATTCTACTATTTCAAAAACCAATACTACAATAATAAATCCATAACAATCAACACATTAATCCATTAAACTCTATATTCAAACTAATATTTTAAACATTCCCTTTAGTATTTTATTAAAACTTATTATCATTCATTATTAAACCTTTTAAAGTTATACCTTGATATTTTAGCCTTTTATTAGATCTTAAAAAGTTCTGGTTATCTACTTATAATACAAATACCACTATTACAATACTCATGTGTACTTTGCAGAATCCCCCCCTTTTTTTTAAAAAAAACCCCATATATTACCCATTATCCCTGAAAAAAATTTCCTTATCTCCATCTTGTCTTATATCTTTGTAACTTTTTTCCCCCTTTTCCCTTTCCTTCTTAGCCCGCCTAAACTTTTTACCCCCTCCTCTCAAAACCTCTGCCTTCTTAATTTCCCCTTTCTGCATTCCTCTTTCCTTTTGCTTTCTAGCATTCTGTTGTTTTTGCATCTTCTTTTTCTCTTTCATAAATATTTTTTTTATTTCTTAAGTCCTTCCTTTTCGCTCCTCTCTTTCTCCTTTCTTTCTTAGTCACACCGTTTAGTTCATTAAAAATGGCTTCTTCTTCCTCGATTTCTTCCAGCTGTTGTTTAATTTGCTGACACATAGCAAGCGCCATATCTAGGAAACAAAGGGCTTCTCCCATAACATCTTTGCCTTCTTTCTTTGTTTTTAGATATTGTTTTTTTAGTTCATCAAGAGATAGAGCCATTTTAAAGTTTCTTCTTCTCTTTCTGTATCCTCTTCTTAAACCAATCAGTTATTTCAAGGCTTAAAACAGTTCCCAAAAGTCCCAAAGTCCCACAGTCATCAAACAGTCCAGGCAGAGTAGAAGCTTCTTCTTTTTACAGTTTCTCTTCTAGGGGTGAAGTCAAATTAGGGAAAGAAAATTCTCTTTATCTTCAAGGCATCTCCTCCAGCAAAGTCTTAGAGTAAAAATTTGTTTTCCCAAGCCTCTCCCTTCCCACTTATAACAAAGGAGTTTAGGTTTTACCTTCTACCAAAAGGCTGGTTTCCCTTGTCCATTTGTTAATTCCATAGGGGAGGGAGAGTAACTTCCCCTTTTTGTCACTTTTCTTCGCAGCTGAAAACATCAATCAGGAACAATAGCTTCCAAGTCATTACTTTCCCAGGTGTTAAATATATCCTTAAGGTCCCAGTTCAACCAAGAAAAA